AGAACAGTCTATGACTAGGGTGGCTGGAGTCTTTGACAATTTTTAGGGCCTTCCTCTGACACCGCCTGGTATAGAGGTCCTGGGTGGCAGGGAGTTTGGCCCCAGTGATGTACTGGGCAGAACGCACTACCCTCTCTAGAGCCTTGCGGTCGGATGCCGAGCAGTTGCCATACCAAGCGGTGATGCAGTTAGTGAAGATGCTCTCAATAGTGCAGTTGTAGAACTTTCTGAGGATCTGAGGGCCCATGCCAAATCTTTTCAGCCTCCTGAGGGGGAAGAGGAGTTGTCGTGCCCTCTTCATGACTGTGTTGGTGTGTTTGGACCATGATAGGTTGTTAGTGATGTGGACACCGAGGAACTTGAAGCTCTCGACCCGCTCCACTATGTTCGGCCCTCCATTTCCTGTTGTCCACGATAAGCTCCTTTGTCTTGCCCACACTGAAGGAGAGGTTGTTGTCCTGGCACCACACTGCCAGGTCTCCGACCTCCTCCCTATAGGCTGTCTCATCCTCGTCGGTGATTAGGCCTACCACCATCGGCAAACTTAATGATGGTGTTGGAGTCGTGCGTGGCCACACAGTCATGGGTGAACAGGGAGTACAGGAGGGGACTGAGCACGCACCCCTGAGGGGCTCCCGTGTTGAGGGTCAGCGTGGCGGATGTGTTGTTGCCTACCCTTACCACCTGGGGGGGGCCCATCAGGAAGTCCAGGATCCAGTTGCAGAGGGAGGTGTTCAGTCCCAGGGTCCTTAGCTTAGTGATGAGCTTGGAGGGCACTATAGTGTTGAACACTGAGCTGTGGTCAATGAACAGCATTTTTACGTAGGTGTTCCTGTTGTCCAGGTGGGAAAGGGCAGTGTGGAGTGCAATAGAGATTGCATCATCTGTGGATCTGTTGGGGCGGTATGCGAATTGGAGTGGGTCCAGGGTTTCTGGGAGGATGGTGTTGATGTGAGCCATGACCAGCCTTTCAAAGCATTTCACAGCTACAGATGTGAGTGCTACGGGGCGGTAGTCATTTAGACAGGTTACCTTGGCGTTCTTAGGCACAGGAACTATGGTGGTTTGCTTGAAACATGTTGGTATTACAGACTGGGTCAGCAAGAGGTCGAAAATGTCAGTGAAGACACTTACCAGCTGGTCAGTGCATGTTCTGAGTACGCGCCCTGGTAATTAGTCTGGCCCTGCAGCCTTGTGAATTTTAACCTGTTTAAAGGTGTTACTCACATCGGCTACGGAGAGCGTGATCATAAAGTCATCCGGAAGCGTATCATAAAGTCGTCCGGTATAGTAGGATTCAATCTTAGTCCTGTATTGACACTTTGCCTGTTTGATGGTTCGTCGGAGCACGTAGCGTGATATCTTATGAGTCCAGATTAGTATCTTGCTCCCTGAAAGTGGCAGCTCTAGCCTTTAGCTCAGTGCAGATGTTGCCTGTAATCCATGGCTTGTGGTTGGGATATGTACGTATGGTCACTGTGGGGACAACGTCGTCGATACACTTATTCATGAAGCCGGTGACTGATGTGGGAAACTCCCGGAACATATTCCAGTCTGTGCTAGCGAAACAGTCCTGTAGCTTAGCATCTGCTTCATCGGACCACTACCGTATTGAGCGCGTCACTAGTACTTCCTGTTGGAGTTTTTGCTTGTAAGCTGGAATCAGGAGGATAGAGTTATGGTCCGATTTGCCAAATGGCGGGCGGGGGAGAGCTTTGAATGCGTCTCTGTGTGTGAAGTAAAGGTAATCTAGAGCTTTTATCCCTCAAGTTGCACAGGTGACATGCTGGTAGAAATTAGGTAAAACAGATTTCAGTTTTCCTGCATTAAAATCACCGGCCACTAGGATCGCCACCTCTGGATGAGCATTTTCTTGTTCTATACAGCTCGTTGAGAGCGGTCTTAGTCCCAGCATAGTATATTACAGTTCTTAATGTCCCATTGTTAGGATAGTCTCTTCCAGTTTATTCTCCAGCGATTGCACATTCACCAATAGAACAGAGGGTAGAGGCGATTTATTCATTCACCGCCGTAATGTCATCAGGGTGCCCGCGCGCCGGCCTCTATAGTGCCCTCTTCGCCTTCTACGAGAGTCGGGGATTAGGGCCTGGTCCGGGAAAATCAATGTCTTTCGCCTCCGACTCATTAACGTAGAAGTCCTCGTCCAAATCGAGGTTAGTGATAGCTGTTCTGATGTTCAGAAGCTCTTTTCGGTCATAGGAAACGATGGCGGAAACATTATGTACAAAAAAAGTTAAGATCAGCGCAAAACAAATACACAAAATAGCACAATTGGTCAGGAGCCCATAAAACGGCTGCCATTCCCTCCAGCGCCATTCTACCATGAAGATGTATGCACTCACTAACTGTAAGTCGCACTAACTGTAAGTCGCTCTGGATAAGAGCGTCTGCTAAATGACCAAAAAATGTAAAAATAAAAATGTAGAGAAATAATGAATCTGCACCATTTCGCTTGTGATCTGAAAATAGCTACATAATACTCCGTAGCAGGACACCTCTCCATTGTTCTCCAGTGTGGGATAAGGCCTCTGATATTCCCTGATGCAGAAGCCATGTGGTCTGCTATAAATGTTGTCATTAGTGACATTTAGGTAGGAGGCAACATTAAGAGACAAGGACCAACCTTTGGTCATGGTGAATGACAAAACTTTGCTGTGTCGGTGGGCTCAAACTGAAACCCTTTGGCATCCTCCACTTTAAAGCGGCAATCAGCAGTTGAAACAATAACAAAGTGCACTGTTTTGGTAAAAAGCTAAGGGATGGGTCCGGCGAAATGTAACCATTCTCAAATTCATAGACAGAGCTATGGATGCATGGAGTGACCATCTATGATATCAAAATTATAGTTTTAACCATGTTCTGAGGCTATACAGTTTTTATTTACATTTACTTTTACAAACACTGGAGTAAAAACAAGCTTATATTTTGGGTTCTGATGGGGTGTGATAGTTGAACTAATCTCATGAGGCATTTATAAGTTATAATAATAATAATATGCCATTTAGCAGACGCTTTTATCCAAAGCGACTTACAGTCATCTGCGCATACATTTTTACGTATGGGTGGTGCCGGTGATCGAACCCACTACCCTGGCGTTACAAGCGCCATGCTCTACCAATTGAGCTACAGAGGACCACCCATTGAAGAGCCCATTGATTCTTCAAGAATCAATGGGTACATATCATAAATGCACTGTATAAGTCCAAAAATTGATGTAGCAACAGCAGATTGCCCCTTTAAAAGGAAAGGGCTGGAACAATATTCCTCTCTGCATGCATACTTCTGACCTCCAAACCTAACTTAAGCATAGCACATACAGCCTCCTGAGTGCCTGACCTCAGTCCAAGTTGGGTCTCCACTCCCCAGACCCCAGTCCTCCTAGTTGGGCCTCCCCTTCCCAGACCCCAGTCCTCTTAGTTGGGCCTCCCCTCCCCTCCCACCCTTCTAGTTGGGCCTCCCCTCCCCTCCCACCCTTCTAGTTGGGCCTCCCCTCCCCTCCCACCCTTCTAGTTGGGCCTCCCCTCCCCTCCCACCCTTCTAGTTGGGCCTCCCCTCCCCTCCCACCCTTCTAGTTGGGCCTCCCCTCCCCCCCCACCCTTCTAGTTGGGCCTCCCCTCCCCTCCCACCCTTCTAGTTGGGCCTCCCCTCCCCAGAGCTTTCTCTCCTAGACCACCCTGATCAAAGTCGTCTCGGGACGGAACTCTACTAATGTCATGAAGCTGTCCAGAGACCTATGATTGGGCTGCCACGAGCAGAACGGATTGTGGGGGCGTATCTGTTCTGGCGTGTGGGATAGAGTGGTCTTTGTTATTGTCGGCGCCCTAGGGGACAGACCAGCGTGACCCAGACCATAACCTCCTGCTGCCCTGGCCTGAATAGCTGCCTACTGAAACGCCTATATCACAAACAGATGTCCCTCACACTAACGCACTGCACGTCAGTCCTGACTAATGATCAACCTTCTAACACTATCACCCAGTGTTAGAAAGAGGGGTATAGTCTACAATGGGTTTGGTACATTTTGGCTAACATTGCTTATTTAGCTTCTTGAAGACATAGGCTTAAGTATGCATCGAGGTCTAAGGTTGAGGATCCCAGTTAGCAGAGAAGCAGAGTTAGCCGTCTCTGATCAGCAGCATTGCTAATCCAAATGGTTTACAAAATCATTAAATGAAAATACCACAAAACAAAAACTTGATTGCTGACATGCAAAACATTTTGGGACTGTATCAACAGTGGACTAATGAAACGAATACCAAAATATAGTTTTTGAGTGGTATTTTCCTTTAAAGTGATATTGAATGTGTCACACAAAATAATCTCAAATAAACCATATGTCCCCGGAGTGTGTAAAACTGCATGAGCTAGCCTAGCATGACATGTGTTGGCTGTACTCAGGAGTGTTTTAGGTTTACGAGCTCTCCCTGCTTCATGGGCAATAAAGCAGAGCTAACCTACAGTCTGTCTGTGTCACAGGAATGACATAAAGCTCCACATTCCAGCGTTTGCACAGTTTCCCTTATAAACTCAGTCAGAGAAGAGGTATCCTGAGATATCAAGGAAGGATTTCTAGGGCAGTATGTTTTTCTAAAGACTGACATCCTACACCACTTCACATTGATAGAAATGCTGATGTCCGACTCCGAAAACAAAGACCATAAAAAAAGAACAATCTTTTCTTTATAAAAAATGGAAGGTTAAGAAAAAAAGGCCTACACAATTTATGGCAGTATACTTATTTCTGTTTTTAAAGTGGAGCAGGACACAATGCAGTACACAGAGGTAGCCAGTCTAACCACTCACTTTGAAGATGGCCTCAAGACATATTTCTCTCTCTCTCTCTCTCTCTCTCTCTCTCTCTCTCTCTCTCTCTCTCTCTCTCTCTCTCTCTCTCTCTCTCTCTCAGCTATCAAAGAAACACAACCCCTTCAAAGCAACCAACAAGCAGACAGTCATAATAACCATAAGAGAGTTGTACCTTCTAGGGTGGTGCCTGTACCCAGGAGGGGGTCTCCCAGCCCAGAGGTGTAGCGGGCGCTGACAAACAGCTCATATTCAGTAGCAGGCTGGAGGTTTTTCAGCAGGGCCATGGTGGTGTCTCCCTTCACGGCTATCTCCTTCCTCTCCCCGGTGCCGTCGGCTGGTTTGAAGGCCACGCGGTACTGGAGAACGTTCCCGGAAGCGGCCCGCCACGACACCTTCATGCTGGACACTGTCTCGTTGAAGACGCGGAGATCATGGGGAGAAACACGGACTGAGGGGGAAAGGACAAACATGGGTCAACCAATCATTGCATCTTCACTTACGTACAGTATAATCTGCATTAGCTACAGGTAAGGAATTGAAGTGTTAGCAGCCACGCTGGCTAACTGACTAACCTTCCTTGGTGGTTCCGTCCACCTGCATCTTGTCTCCCAGGCCGGAGGTGTACTCTGCAGACACAGACACGCGGTAGGTAGTGATGGGGAACAGCTCCTGGAGCACGATGGTGGTGTCAGGTCCATTGGTCTGGGTCTCCAGCCTCTCTCCTCCCCCCATCACGGGGATGTAGGACAGCCGGTACCTCACCACGGGCCCTGGCGCTGCCAGCCACGACACCCGGAAACTGTCTGTGGTCTCCTCAGACACACTCAGGCCCTGCACCGTTCCTCGTTCTGGAAAGGAGAACGTTCAGGTTTTGTTTAGCAGTGGCTTGTCAATGTAATTTTTAAGGACAAAGACTACACACCCAGCCTTCTGTTTAAACTATTGAATGATATGCATCTAAAAGAGGCAACTTGAAGAAGCCATGTAAGTTTCTTGTGAGAAACAGCAAAAGCACTAAAACATATACACTCTTAGAAAAAAGGGTTCCAAAAGGGTTCTTCGGCTGTCCCCATAGGATAACCCTTTTTGGTTCCAGGTAAAACCCTTTTTGGTTCCAGGTAGAACACCTTTTGGGTTCCATGTAGAACCATCTGGGAAAAGGGTTCTACATGGAATCCAAAACGGTTTTACTTGGAACCAATAGGGTTCTAAACTGGAACCAACAAGAGTTCTTCAAAGGTTTATCTTATGGGAACAGCAGAAGAACCCTTTTAGGTTCTAGATAGCACCTTTTTTTCTAATAGTGTACTGTATCTCTTCACTTGCTTATGCTGTGAAACCCCTGAACGTGTATGCTTTTAACCCCTTACCTTCCAGAGTGGTCTCCTCCCCTGACAGAGGGAAACTGTCTCCTTTGTCGTACTGGGCGAACACGTTGACCTCGTAGGTGGTGAAGGGGGTGAGGTGTGGCAGGATGGCGCTGGTGGTGTCGGCTGGCACAGCCAGGGAGATGTAGTCCCCGGTGATGTCCTCGGCCTTACGGAAACGCACCAGGTAGGACATGACGTTGGTGGAATCGGTGGTCCAGGTGGCACGGAAGCTTCTGGATGTCACCTCAGAGAACTCCAGGTCCCTGGGTGCAATCAGACCTGACGAGAGGGATAAAACACAATTAAATGACTGGTTTGTGTTTTGTCCTCACAGGAAATGTAATCGTTATGGCTTTTGATAATGCTAAGCAGAGCCGTCTATCTTATTCATTAAGAACCAATGATTTGAACTCATTCAACATCATTCACAGGTCCATCTTTGACCATTTATCTTCCATGAGTGTCTTGGTCATAGGAAACACTCCTCATATGCTAGCATTATGCATTAAGCCGACAGGATTGCAACACATTCATATTACAAACCCCTGGACATTGCCAATGCCTAATTGTTTTTTGTTTACTGATAATAAGTGCAGCAGATCAACTGATGTCATGTTACTGTTGACTTTCAGAGACGGGTGGCCTTTTAATTAGCAGGACATTTAGGTCAGAATAACAGAGGGTCTCCAGTCAGTTGCTATAGTGTTTAAAAACCGTAAACGATAACAAATGGCTCAACGGGCTCCCCTGAGATGCAGGCATATGGTTCTGTGGTATTTTGAAGGCAGCATGCTCAGTCAAGGAGAGATAAAACAATCAGGGTTCTCCCCAAAGAACGCAAGAGGGGCACTGCGCCGACTGGCTGCACCACTGCAAAAATAAATAAATAAATACGTTTTTATTATTATTATTTATTTACTTTATTTGTTATCATTTAAGGCCAGGCACCCCACCCTAATTGAGTATTTTTTTTGCTCTAGATTGCAGGAAATGGCAGTTACAGGTGTACTCAGCAGCACCACCTTGTTAAAGAACCCTCGGGAGAACCCTGACACAGCTGGGCAGAAAGAAACAGACCCAAGGCCCAAGGGTAATAATAGATGAAGATTATTACTCAGCCTTTTGAGTAGTGGAGATGTAGTTACATCATGATATCACTATTGCAGTAGCACAGCTTAGTTCTGACCTGCTTTACCACACCGCAAATAACTGATTACAATGGGCTGTACAGAGTTCAAGGTCACTTAGCGGCTGCCAATAAAGTTAACCAGCATGTATGGTTATGTAGGTATAGTTACAGGTACAGTACAGTCCAGGTTAAGCATGCTAAACTTCAAACAGGGGTATATGTTATGAGTAGGGCTAGGAGTTTTTGTTGACCACATGACCAGAGCAGGAAAACGCCCAGCCTTTTGTTATAAGGGTACGGGTAACTTCAGGCTAACAGAGTGATACTGAGACTCCGAATTTTCACTTTAAAATGTATGACAAACTAAAACTAATGATTGCTAAACAAACCATACAACTCTATGCACAAGGACTACTTTTATCAGTGTCCACTGAACATTTTACAAAAACACATTTACTTGAAGAACACTACAGATGCAAAGTTTGGAAATTGTTAAAAGTAGTCATTATGCATAGAGTTGTATGGTTTGTTTGACTTTGCAATCATTGGTTTTTGTTTGACATTAAATCCATTGTTCTTTTTCTGTGGAATTGCCCGTATGTTAAATGGCTACTCACTCTTCTTCTTGATGTTTAGGAGCTCTTGTTCGATCCTCAGGCAGATGGACTGGGTGAGCTCCTTGGAGATCCTCTGGAAAGCATCAAAGTCCTCCACAGTGTATACGTGGGTCGCTGCTGGGGCATTAGCAATGGCTTCCAGCTCTGACCTTACAGCGTCCTTCACCCCCACAGCAAAGATCTCCACATCTATATTCCTCAGGTTGGTGGCCGCGTCTTTGAAGGAGTCCGAGGACTTGCCGTCTGTGATGAGGACCATGATACGTGGGACGCTGGTTCGAGCGCCTCGGGTGGAGATAAAGATCTTCTCCCTGACGTAGTTCATGGCCTTGCCCGTGTTGGTGGAGCCTCCACGGTAGGGGAACGTCCGGACAGCCTTGACCACTGAATCAATGTCATTATAGGTGTTCAGGGCGAACTCGGTGTGGGGGTCCCTGCTGTACTGGACCAAGCTGAGCCGGATCTTGTCGAGCCCGACGTTGAAGGAGTTGACCAGGACCTCCAGGAAAGCTCTTACTTTGGCAAAGTTTTGTAATCCGATACTGTAGGAACCATCGACCAGCAGGACCACGTCAGCTTGTACATCCACTCCAAGAGAGCATTCTGGGGTGGAAAATACATTAGATGTCATCTCTATGTGGTCTACATTGTGAAATAGGTTGTTCTTTTAAAATAGCTACTATGTAAAGTTTCAGTGAGTGCGTGAGTGAGTGAGTGAATGAGTGAGTGAGTGAGTGAGTGAGTGAGTGAGTGAGTGAGTGAGTGAGTGAGTGAGTGAGTGAGTGAGTGAGTGAGTGAGTGAATGAGTGAGTGAGTGAGTGAGTGAGTGAGTGAGTGAGTGAGTGAGTGAGTGAGTGAGTGAATGAGTGGAAAGCTGTTACAGATTGTTATCTCACCCAATAACACCTTGACAGGCTGAGTCTTCTCCATGGCCAGGACAGCGTCACTGGGGGTCAGACCCTTCAGAGCGAACAGGCTGATCTCGTACTCGGTCTCTGGGGACAGGTCCCGGACGTTGACAGAGGTCTGGGTGGGCCCCACGTATACCACCTGGCGCTTCATCCCAGCCATCATGGGCATCAGGGTCAGCTTGTAGCCTGTGATCTCCCCCAGAGAGGGATCCCACGTCACCCTCATGGATTTAGAGGAGATCTCAAGCACCTGGAGGTTAGAGGCCGGTTCCACCACTAGAGACGTAAATGTAGTTTGGTTAGACAACACTTTAACAATACATTTACAGTTACAAAGTTGTTGTGGATTTTTTACATTGACCATACCTATTTCTGACAATATACTTGAAATAGGTGAAGATTTAAATCAAACAATGGAAATGTGATGTAATCTATAATGTCTTACCATCATCTCCGCTCACTAGAGAGTTGAGCTGATCTTCCACACTGGAGCACACCTGAGTGATGAGCTTCTGCTGCACTGCCTTGATCACATCAAAGTTAGGTACGTTGTAGACATGTGTGCTGTGGGGAGTTGAGGCCATTTCCTTCAGTTCATCCTCATCTGCTCCTTTGATGCCTACATGGTGAAAAACAACTTAGAAATTGGCCTGAGAAATTGAGTACTCTGGACATCAGCCATTACGGAATCTCCAGAATTTCCAGGCACACACAAACAAAAAGCATTATAAGGATGTTCTCAAGAAAGAGCAGTACCTAAGGCAAATATTTCCACTCCAATGTTCCTGAGTCGTTTAGCATACTCCTCCACTGGGTCCTGGGATTTTCCATCTGTGATGATCATGGCTATCTTTGGAAAGCCTTTCCTTGCGCCGGCCACCTCCGTAAATATGTTTTTCAGCAGGTAGTCCATGGCATCCCCTAGAGACAGAGTGTAACATAATTTACCTTTAAGAAAATAGCATTTCAGCAGAAGATAACATTTCCTGTCTGTGGACAGAAGCCTACTTTCAGAACAAGCACGTAACCAGAACAGAAAATGGAAGATTGGCACTAATGTTCTAGTTACACACACAGATCTCAAGTTAAGATTCGGTCCAACAAGAATTTACAAATGATCTACAGGATATCCATGCACTCACTGTAAGGGATCAAACATTTACATTTTACATTTTAGTCATTTAGCAGACGCTCTTATCCAGAGCGACTTACAGTTAGCGAGTGCATACATATTTATTTTTTTATACTGGCCCCCCGTGGGAATCGAACCCACAACCCTGGCGTTGCAAGCGCCATGCTCTACCAACTGAGCTACACAGGGCCCTGTCCAAGTAGACTGTTTACTCACACCTATCATGTATACCTGTCATGGTGTTTCCTCCCTTGTAGGGCAGGGTGTTGATGGCTTTGAGCAGCTCTCCTCGTTTGGAGTGGCGGTTGAGGAGGAACTCAGTGCGGGTGTCTGTGCTGTACTGGACCACAGCCACCCTGGTCTTGTCCTCTCCGATGTCGAAGGCACCAGCCAAGGCACTGATGAAGCTGCGGATGTGCTTGAAGTTTTCCCTGCCAACGCTCCAGGAGCCATCCACCAGGAAGACTAGGTCTGCTATGGCACTGACTGAACACTCTGGAGGGGTGGAGTGGGGGATGGGGGAGAGAGGGAACACAATTCATTGTCTGAATACAATCTGGCAGATTGGTGCACCTTTTCGGTACTCTAATAAAAATATTTGACAGATGATATTCCAACAGTCATGAAGACAAAAATTTGTTTTTATGGACCAAATAATCACTGAAATTTTCAGCGGTGTTGTTCGGTTTTATGTTTTCAAACCCTGGTGGGTTTTTAAATCACAGATCCATCAGATTCTCTGGAACATCCAAGATGCAATAATTGGCAAGACTTCTATGAATGTCTTGAATCTTAGATCCCCTAGGTCTATTTGACTCTATATCCGTATGTGCTTCTCACATCTTGTTATTCTCACCTTTTGAAGATTTCTTGATAAAACATCAAATATTCTACGGATTTAGCTTGACAATTAGGTCAATTCTGAGAGTGCTAAGAAAGTTCTGCCAGAAATAGCTGCTAGGAGCAAAGGTTTTTTCTGGACTTCTGGGTTCAATTTCCACCCAAATCGTACATGGTGGGGAAAAGTGAGCGTGTCTCCCTGTCAATCCACAGACTGGACTCATGGAGAGGCACAGAACTCCAGTAAAAGGACTTCTGGTCAGAGCGGTAATCCTTTCCACTTCTTTCAACATTTAATTTAAAGGACGGACATGCACAGAGCTGGCACGACAGTGACGTCATCCCTCTCTTTGGATTATGGGAGCACAAAAGGAACCCGTTTGCCTCAATGTGAAGACTGTTTTCAATTACAAACTAGTATGTACATTCTCAGCCACTGTCGGACCCCCTGTCTGCTCACACTGTGACAACTCATCAGTACAGAAGGGGTATTTGAGGCTTAGGAAATTATTCCAGTGAAGAATATTATGATTATGATGGAAGTCCATGGAAAAACACAAAAAATGTACTGGCAAAAATGGTACTGCTAAGTTGACAGGCAATGGGCATTGAGTAGATTGGTTGACATTGAGGTAAAAATTCTTACTGATTGCATCTGAAGTCTGCGGCCTCCTTGCTGTTCCACTTGTGTTACTGGATTGAACTGAAACACAAAAGAACTTGAACTGTTATCATGACATCCTGTGTGCCATATGCCATGTATGACCCAAGACAATCAACACATCATCAAGCCTATTCAATGGGATATTTTACATTTTAGTAATTTAGCAGACGCTCTTATCCAGAGCGACTTACAGTTAGTGAGTGCATACATGTTTTGTTTTTTTGTTTTGTTTTCATACTGGCCCCCCCGTGGGAATCGAAACCCACAACCCTGGTGTTGCAAGTGCCATGCTCTACCAACTGAGCTACAGTGAGAGAAAAAAGTATTTGATCCCCTGCTGATTTTGTACGTTTGACCACTGACAAAGAAATGATCAGTCTATAATTGTAATGGTAGGTTTATTTGAACAGTTAGAGACAGAATAACAACAAAAACAAAATCCAGAAAAACGCATGTCAAAAATGTTATAAATTGATTTGCATTTTAATGGGGGAAATAAGTATTCGACCCCCTCTCAAACAGAAAGATTTCTGGCTCCCATGTGTCTTTTATACAGGTAACGAGCTGAGATTAGGAGTACACTCTTAAAGGGAGTGCTCCTAATCTCAGTTTGTTACCTGTATAAAAGACACCTGTCCACAGAAGCAGTCAATCAATCAGATTCCAAACTCTCCACCATGGCCAAGACCAAAGAGCTCTCCAAGGATGTCAGGGACAAGATTGTAGACCTACACAAGGCTGGAATGGGCTACAAGACCATCGCCAAGCAGCTTGGTGAGAAGGTGACAACAGTTGGTGCGATTATTCGCAAATGGAAGAAACACAAAAGAACTGTCAATCTCCCTCGGCCTGGGGCTCCATGCAAGATCTCACCTCGTGGAGTTGCAATGATCATGAGAACGGTGAGGAATCAGCCCAGAACTACACGGGAGGATCTTGTCAATGATCTCAAGGCAGCTGGGACCATAGTCACCAAGAAAACAATTGGTAACACACTACGCCGTGAAGGACTGAAATCCTGCAGCGCCCGCAAGGTCCCCCTGCTCAAGAAAGCACATTTACAGGCCCGTCTGAAGTTTGCCAATGAACATCTGAATGATTCAGAGGAGAACTGGGTGAAAGTGTTGTGGTCAGATGAGACCAAAATCGAGCTCTTTGGCATCAACTCAACTCGCCGTGTTTGGAGGAGGAGGAATTCTGCCTATGACCCCAAGAACACCATCCCCACCGTCAAACATGGAGGTGGAAACATTATGCATTGGGGGTGTTTTTCTGCTAAGGGGACAGGACAACTTCACCGCATCAAACGGATGATGGACGGGGCCATGTACCGTCAAATCTTGGGTGAGAACCTCCTTCCCTCAGCTAGGGCATTGAAAATGGGTCGTGGATGGGTATTCCAGCATAACAATGACCCAAAACACATGGCCAAGGCAACAAAGGAGTGGCTCAAGAAGAAGCACATTAAGGTCCTGGAGTGGCCTAGCCAGTCTCCAGACCTTAATCCCATAGAAAATCTGTGGGGGAGCTGAAGGTTCGAGTTGTCAAACGTCAGCCTCCCTTTAAGAGTGTGCTCCTAATCTCAGCTCGTTACCTGTATAAAAGACACCTGGGAGCCAGAAATATTTCTGTTTGAGAGGGGGTGAAATACTTATTTCCCTCATTAAAATGCAAATCAATTTATAACATTTTTGACATGCGTTTTTCTGGATTTTTTTTATTTATTCTGTCTCTCACTGTTCAAATAAACCTACCATTAAAATTATAGACTGATCATGTCTTTGTCAGTGGGCAAACGTACAAAATCAGCAGGGGATCAAATACTTTTTTCCCTCCCTGTACATACATATAAACATATTTTTCCTGGTTCATTAGCTATAAACAGAGTGTGATTCAAGTTTCAATAAACAAATGTGATTTCCTTCTTCTGATGTGTCTAGAACCTAACGCTATAAACTCTCAGTTGTTCCATAAAAAATATTGTGTTTTTCATCTCACTTGGCAGCTACACCATAGACAGCTGGAGGCTTGAAACTATGTAATTGGCCCATTGTTCCTATGGCTGAGTGATCTGATCTGAGGTTAAACCCTTTTGATATCAGTCCATATCAGGCTTTTGGAAAAGCCATCTGATTTTTCACACAAGTTATTTTTAACCTTGTAACAGCATCAGAATATTGAGCACTTACTAGTGAGCTGGCCAAAGATGGGTATGCTCTCCTCTGTGCCATCATAGGAGTTGATTGACACTGAGTAGTCCAGATCAGGAGTCAGGTCTGTGATAGATGTCTTTGTAGCAGTGGCAGGGAGGTTAAACTCTCTGGCTGGTTCATCTGGTATATAGAGAATGGGTTGGCATTAGAATTGGTGCAAATTATCATTCAGCTTGGCATGAAAAGCTATAACTAGTAAGGCAAACATCAATTAACTGATGAGATCAATATATACGAACCTGTATCCGATACAACTTGTATTCTATAGCCCTGTATCCTTTGCGATGGTTTTCTCCATGACATTTGCACTGTGTTCTCATTTAGAATTTTAAATTTCAAGTCTGAGGGGGGCTCCACTGCAAACAAAAGAGGAACTGATGTTAACTTACATGAATGACAAAACATGGGTATGAGTATAAAAATGTTGATATTTTCTTTCAGCAAGGCATTTTATATCAAGCATTCACATTTAGCCCAACGATAAACACTTCATGACTGAAGTTGAGACGTTCATTGTTGAGGGAGACAAGAACCCACATCTATGGTAAATGTGACAAAAAAAGAAACTCACAACAACATTTAAACGTGTGATAAGCCATTTTGGAAAACAAAATGGCATTTGTTTGAGTTGCACAACCAGGTAACCCTAGTCAGCAACTCAAGCACCGGAAGTCTGGAGTACACGACATTAATACAGACCAACTCCACACAAAACTCCCCTAAGGACAAACATTGAGTGAACCATCCAATACATGCTAAATGCAGTCATTACCACGCATGCCCAACCAACCAGCACCAACAGGTTGCTCTCAAGTCATGGAGTTGATTTGAACAACACACAAGTACAACAACATTTTCATTCCAACGTTATCGATTATACAATGGAGTCAAGATTGCCAGGTAATGTTGAGGATGGCATTTGGAGAATTTAACAACATATGTTATATATACAGAGTATATATACATATTTTGACAAAGAAGTTAAGTATTTGTATATTTAGAGACTAGCACAAGTAATTGGCATACATCCATTGCAAACCTTGCTAAAAGAATACACAATGTGTCACGGGAGACTGTTGTGTACATTCTTTTCATTGGCAGAGTGAACAAGATGGCATGAGGTGATGGGACACTGCTTGCCTTACACAGTCAAAATGAAGAGAGAGTTGAGATACAGAGGAAAATAATGTACAAATACATTGGGGGAAAAAACAAAAAAACAGATGCAACCTGACAACACGCGTGTCCACATTGAGCTGGTTGTCACAGCACCATGCATGCATATGTACATGAGAAAGTTGTTTAGAACAACTTGACATTTGGATGAAAGTTTCCATGTACATGAGGGACCACACATAGAGATAATAAACATATTTTTAAATGATATTCTTCCTCAGTGGGGGTTCACATGCAACCTATTTAGATCAGCTGAGTGTTGAGTGACCTTTCACCTTTACGTGAGTACAGTTAAACGGGAAACAAAAGTGTTTGAAAAGTACTAGTTGTTGTTTTGGACAGACATATAAACTTGTACTTGAGGGTAAACAGAATAACAAGATAGCTAGAACTGTGAGAATGTAAGAAAGTCTCAACATCTATGAAGGTGCTGTAGGAGTGGCTATTAGTCCTCTAGCCTATGGCTGTATAGGCACTTCTTATATGCTACATACTATATGATGATGATTATGTGATGAAGACATACATGCAAAGGCTGGCCTTACAGACCATGTCAGTAGGTGGGTGGCATGCAAGCTGTTGAGGAGGGGCAGTGGGATGGGATGCAAGAATATCATTGTAAAATACCCACTGAGAAAGCCACAGCTCAGGACACACTGAATGCACAGGCAGACAAAAACTAGGACTTGAGCCAAAGCTGTTATTGGTACACGGTAAAGGAGGATCACCAACCTGACATCAATTCAGGGGGCCTGGGAAAGCTCCCCTCATGTCTCCAAGAAAGTCTCTGAACAATAATAAATGAACCCACTTGGGGGTAGGGCGGCGAGGTGAGTGAAGGGGAGATGGGGAGGGGAGATGGGGGGGGGGAGATGGGGGGGAGATGGGGAGGGGAGATGGGGGGGGGGGGGGTTGGGGAGGGGAGATGGGGAGGGGAGATGGGGAGGGGAGATGGGGGGGGGGAGTTGGGTAAGGAAAGTGGGTAGGGATGTTGTCTTCTCTCACAAGAGCAAAGAACTGTCACTTTGCTCAAGCTGTTTGAACATTGTTGTACAAAAAGTCGCAAATAGTTGGAAACACAGTTGTTACCGCGCACATTTTCTGTTCAATCTTCTCATCTTGCATTTAAATGTAATTTTCTAAAACAAGACATTTTAAAAAAGCATTGAAGATATAATATAATCACAATAAACATTGGTGGATATTTTTTTGTCGAGTTCCCTCAACAGATGTGGATGCATATCACAGCACCCTGCCTGACCAGAGGACACCTCTGCCTTTCCCATGGGCCAGACTCTGGCTACTGTCAGTAACCTCAGTCTACAGCCAGTCAGTCATTCAGAGGAAAGAGCTATGACTCTCCAAAAGAGGCAGAACAGATGCCAAAGTAATTTCGCAACATGTACTGACAAACATTACTACATATTCCCTTTCCATATGGATTGCAACTCAGCGTTTTCGAGAATGCCCGCAAGAAGCCTAAAAAGGCTATTTGTCTTTGTCTGAGGATTAATTTGCGATTCTCATATTACATCTTTCCATTCCGTTAGTGAAGATATATGGGAGTAGACATTGGACTCCCCAAAAAAGCATTCAGGGGAAATAATCAGAACTTTCCATTTGGCATTTCCATTTTGGGTTTTTGTCTTTGGTCAGAAAATGTTTTTACACTTTTAAAAAACATAAGAATTGAATTTTCAAGTTTTTGAACATTAGGGATATTCAAACCATGAACTCACATTTCTACAAATGATCATGTCATGACCACTTATTTTGTTTGGCGATCGAAATATGAGAAAGACTCAAATCTAGAACAGCTAATGTAACTTCATTTTAGTTAACATAATTACAGAGGGAAATAACTAAACCATGAAATGATTTTAGTTCTACTTCTTTTTAGTGTACTTTTGTTTGAGAACACATCATTGGAAAATATTTTTCAATTTTCAATGAAGGAATTATTATTGGGTCCTGGATTCTTTTACCGAACCATAATGTCAATAAGACTATGGTAACACATGATGGTTCCATAGCCCTGTGTGGACTCTGACATCAACATAAGAGTCAGATTCAACTTTTGAGATGGTAATGTCACATATGGCTGCACATACTGTACATTACAGATGACTGTTGACAACATTCTACCAGAGTCCCTGATTTCTCATTGGCATCGTTGGAGACATTTCCTGATTTTGGTTTCGTGACAGAGTTTATATATGTCCTATCATAATTAGAAAAACTAATTTAGAATAGATTATATACATGTACCAAGATTGAGTTAATTTAATTGTAACTATTCTGAAATAACTCATGTTACATCACAGAGCAAGAGAAGAGGTTCAGGACAAGTCAAATCAAGCAAAATACACACATAACTGGGTATCATTTTATTAATCATACTGTACAATGCATTAGAGTTGTTTCCATGTGATAGTCAGCCCACACACAATAAAAACCCTACACCCTGAATCCTGTAATCAAACAACTAGAGCTAGAGAGAGAGAGCAAGAGAGAGAGAGAGAGAGATGGGTATATGAAAAGGTTCGGCAGGAGGGATGATAGGGGAAAGGGACATTTACCTTGAGCTTCAACGGCGTTGAATAACACTGCAACGAAGGCGGCCACGGCCAGTGACAGCCGTATCTTCATTTTTAGACGTTATGAATCAGCAGCACATTAATCAATCTGAGGAGAGAGTTGCGTTCAAATAGTCAAACCCATTTAGTGTAGCCTTGGGAAGAGAGTGGACAGAAAGTCACGAGCCTTGAAAAGGAATAGATTACATTTGCGTGACTGAAAGGGCATCTGCCAGTGGAGGAATTTACCTAACCCACAGTCTGGAAAAATTTGGTTCAAAGAAAAAAGAGAAGAAAGTAGGCCTATATGTCTCAACAAATATCATCACTATTTCGGAACTATATTCGTTATTAAGCATAAGTAGCCTAAAAAAACTATTTCGTTCACTCACTGTTAATAAATCATTTAATCATAATTCAACCTGTCATATAGGTTAGACATTGAAAACGGATGAGAATTTCGTCAAAAGCTATCCTGCCTGGAATATCAGAAATAGGCTACTGGTCGTACAAAATACTGACAGGTTGTGCGCCCCGACTAGTGGCACAGGAGCTCATACTCCAAATGGAGGACCATTTCATTCAGATATATTTGGCTCCAAAGACCATCAAAAGTGGCCCTTATAGGCAAGGATGAATTTCAACTTAATATACATCAGGCCCATAGATCAATAAAAAAAAAAAAAATTATGTAGAATAAAAAACTTTTGCCAAAACAATGTGCCCAATAGAAAATGTCTCATTGCATTAAAGTAATGTTTTACCAATGATCAACTAATATATTGATTACTTTGGATAGGCTATACTCATTTGATGCTCATACTCTCATACAGTATACTTCTTGATTCCACACTGGACAAACTATAATCTGAAGAATTAACCCTCCGTGAAAAAAATCACTAATCTTGCAGTTATTCCCAGAAATAAATCAGTCTTTGCATTCCTGTCTCCATCCAGGTCTTTGAAAAAGCACATAAATAGCACATAAAGCTAAGCACAATGTCTTATTTATTGAAAAGCATTTATTTTGTATAAATCTTGAATTATTTCTAATCAACAGCAGGGTCAAATTTATTTTCAAATAAATAAAATGTTTGTTGCTCACCTGGTCAATCCGGACAGAATAAAATCTAAAAATGTAAGTGCACCCTGAAGACTCCCCCTCTAGAAACGAATAGATAACTTTTAGGAGCTCTGGGTGTCCCCTTCTCTCCTCTAGCTGGCTACTGGAAGCTCCAACAGCAGATGTCCAAGAAAGAAGTCTCTGTCCAAGTGGTTAGAATCTTTCCACAATCTGCTACTTAATAGGGGGCTGTTCCCAACTCTCATTTTACTGCCATAAACTCTTACAAAAACTCCACTGGTAAACCTTGCCATGGTTTGATATATGAAACATCCTCCAGTGGGAACACACTTCGGGAACCTGCATTTTTTCTGCATTCCTATGCACATCACGATCTTCTGTTTTAAGTGCCTATAACGGGTTAACAGGGAGACTGTGGGTCACAACCCTGAGGAAATTCAAATGTAGGCTATATTAGGTCTAAAAATGGTGTACTTACTATCTATTTCAGTGTAAGTACTTGTTCAATCAATAAAAAGTAGTTGAATTTACTATCCAAACGACACGTTCGTGGATTTTCTATTGGATCTCTCTGAGAATAGATGCAGTCGCCCGGGCAACATAGACTACCTGCGGGTAACTTTTACACATATAACATTTGAACCACATTTTTAAAAACATTTTTAGTCATTTAGCAGACGATGTTAAAACACACTAACATAGTCCAACATTTAATGACAACTGCACACAATAAAAATATATTACTTATTTAGTACCATTTCACTTGATTAAGTCATTCTACAGGACAGGTAGCCCCAGTGGTGTAGTAGAGGGTATACCCATATATTTTTCAGTGGGCATTGCGTATACTCACTTCTTAATCCCCACTAATACGTATCCAAGTGGTGTAGTGGATGTATACACCGTAAAATTAATAGGGCTGATGGAACAGATCGGAATGTTGATCTTAAATTTGTAAGTCGCTCTGGATAAGAGCGTCTGCTAAATGACGTAAATGTAAATGTTAAAATGTTCATCAACTATTATTTCTTCACATTTTAGGCGCAGCAATGAACACACGGCAGTAGGCCTACACGTGAATATTCCAAAATGCAATTATCCGGAAAACACCATTCTGAAATGCGCACCTCACATGCAAGCGGGCATAGATGTAAATATCCGTTAGAGAGGGAACTTTGATAATGGTTTAATAATATGATTAGAATAATGCTTTTGGCTACTATACAATGAAATACAGTTGAAAGAAAACCAATAGAACATGAGAACGCATATGAGTAAGTCTATAAAAATAATTGCCTCCACGTTTCTATGGTCGGGTTTTGGCTATAGGCTAGCAAGGTAAGACATGCTTCATAATTTGAAGTAAAACTTCCAGGTTTATAACAATTAAGGAACAGCGATGCTAATGATAGGCCTAACCGTTTTCTGGTAGATAGAAGGCCTTCACAAAAACCTTCTCTATTAAATGTTAACCAGGTGCAAAGTAGCCCATGCCTACCTGTCAGAATGATATCATATGATGATTATTTGCATCAATCCAGTGGTCATTATTTTTGCAAACTCCATCTCATGTGCTACAGAAACACTGCTAATCAAACAATTGAATTAAAGGGTAACTACTCAAAAGTGGTCTCCTGATGTGAAGCATTGTTATGGACTTTTTTGTTTTTCTGTAAAAAATGTTTTTTTTTAATGGGGAACGTTTGAAACCTGTGAATTTCTGACTCAGTTTATCCGTTTAGGTCCGAATCTTTCCCATAGGGCGCCTTTCCTTCGCTGGGCGGGCAGTTATGATTTTTTTGTGCAAAATTAGAGTTGACCCACTTCTCCAGGCACCATTATACCACTGGGTAGCCCATATCAACAGCCTTGAACAGCTTGGGTATCATTGAGGCAGTGTCCCCTCTTGGGATGATTGTAAACATTATTAATGGATCTTCATGGATCAGAAATTGTCAGTCCAGTTTCCTCAAACCAAATCTACCTAGATAAAATGTCCCTCATTTCATGATCAGTGAGGGCCTCTAGTGTTTAAAAGCAGGACATACATCTTGGGCGGTGCATTGAAAGTCAACCACATGCGCAGAAGTGATCATTATCCTATAGGCCCAGGGGCTTTTATCCCATATAATGGTTTATCTATTGGTTCATGTACACAATCACAGCTAAAAACAGAATTGCTATATACAGACATAGAATACATTTTTTTTTTTTTAATATAGAATAACACTGTATATCAGACCAGATGTATTGAGATTGTGAATTCACATGGATATGACTTTGTATTGTGGTTGTTTTATTATCTGTGGTACATTAATTGTACAATCAATAAATATTGATCCCATGCATGAAACATATTGGCATTATTGACAAGACAAATAATCTCCCAGATCATACATCTGTACAACAGAGAAGATTAATTTAGGGATGGACAACGGCACTCATGCCTTCTTGGGCATTGCTGCATTGAGGAGTTCATACACGACAAATCCGCTTCCTGTGAAGAGAGGAGAAAGATTTTTTATATAACAGGCATAGCAGCAAATGTGTGAAACTGGCATTCGACTGGACTGTTTGTGGTTAGACTTCATCTAGATTACTTGATCACCTGCCGTAAAAATTCCATTAGCACTTACAATCAATGTCACATTCAAGGAGGGTCATATCAGGGCTGTACAACATATACCCAATTTCAGTGTAATGCATACTTACCAAAGACTGTAAGGGCCATCGTTGCCCTGTACAGAATAGCATCCTTGGCTCCTCCCTTCAGATGGACTGGTATCCCGTTATCTGCCTGTGTAAACAGGAAATGAGCCTATCATCTGACATTCAGAAGTATGCCAAGAAGCCCTTTATAGCAACGTATATGAACCAAAAACTAAATGGTTCTGCCTGGGTGGCCGTATTTTAAATGGTCTTAGCACTTTTGCACCACCTGAATATGTTGAATATTTCATTCATCAGCACATACTGCACTACAATAGCCCTGGCAAAGCCCAAATATTCTGTGAGACGTTTATAACCCCAATTAAGATTTATACTTCTTGGAAAGCAAAGTGCTGCTTGGGAGATATTATAGCCTAACCTAAAACAACTGGAAACACTTACCATGAACATTATGACCTTAAAAGGATCAGGAATTTCTTAGGCTAAGATGTAAATCAACAACAAATTGCAGAAAAGCAATCATTGCTTTAGCACTAACATTTTAAAGCAGGGCAAGTGTCAGCTATGGAAATCCTCTGGGTGTTATGCAAGATTCAGCAAAGCATTGATATCAAAAGACTAATTTTGCATCGGCTGATTGCATATCACACTGCATGCAAAATTAGTCAGCCCAGCCCAAACTAAGAGTGACTCTATGAGCAAACATCATAAATACTTATCTTTCAGGCTACAAAGGGGGGAAAATAAGATTCTGTTTCCAGAACCTGAGAATAAAGTGCAAACTTTAACATTAACCTTAGCATTAATGCACCATTACTGGTAAAACAAGATTTAACACAAATGTTGACTGTCAAAATGAGGTAAACAAAACCAGAATAGAATTATCAACTTCTACTTTTAAAAACAAGTCTTTGAGCTTCGGTAGACAGGTGTTCCATTCCACATTTCCACTGCTCTTCAGGGGAACTCTCAGCTCCATCGCCATCTGCCTGTCTTGGACCCAGAGCTTACCTGGAACAGCTTCTGCTTCTCCTTGACCATGTTGTCCACCTGTCTGCGGGCACTACTGGAGATAGTCCGCCTGGACAGCTGCTGAAGACTCTGAAAATGCAGGTGATCAGGAAGAGATCCATAAAAAAAAACGTAGTCAATGATTACTGAAGTATTTACATGTGGACTAACTAGTAGCCTAGCTTAGCTACACTACATGACCAAAAGTATGTGGACACCTGCTCGTCGAACATCTCATTCCAAAATCATGGGCATTAATATGGAGTTGGTCCCCCCTTTGCTGCTATAACAGCCACGCTTCTGGGAAGGCTTTCCACTAGATCTTGGAACATTGCTGCGGGGACTTGCTTCCATTCAACCACAAAAGCATTAGTGAGGTCGGGCACTGATGTTGGGCGATTAGACCTGACTCGCAATTTGCGTTCCAATTCATCCCAAAGGTGTTCGATTGGGTTGAGGTCAGGACTCTGTGCAGGCCAGTCAAGTTCTTCCATACCGATCTCGATAAACCATTTCTGTATGGACCTCTCTTTGTGCACAGGGGCATTGTCATGCTGAAACAGGAAAGGGCCTTCCCCAAACTGTTGCCACAAAGTTGGAAGCACAGAATCCTCTAGAATGTCATTAGCGTTAATATTTCCCTTCACTGGAACTAAGGGGCCTAGCCTGACCCATGAAAAACAGCCCCAGACTATTATTCCTCCTCCACCAAACTTTACAGTTGGTACTATGCATTCGGGCAGGTAGCGTTCTCCTGGCCAAACCCAGATTTGTCCTTTGGACTGCCAGATGGTGAAGCGTGATTCATCACTCCAGAGAACGTGTTTCCACTGCTCCAGATTCCAATGGCGGCGAGCTTTACACCGGCTGCTCGGCCATGGAAACCCATTTCATGAAGCTCCCGACGAACAGTTATTGTGCTGACGTGGCTTCCAGAGGCAGTTTGGTACTCGGTAGTGAGTGTTGCAACCGAGGACAGACGATTTTTAGGCACTACGCGCTTCAGCGGTCCGGTTCTGTGATTCTAGACAGCTGAGCATAAGTTATGCCGCATTCAAAACCACTGGTAACTCGGAAATCTCCGACTTCCGAGCGTTTAAGACAACTGGGAAGTCGGGGGAAAAACAAGCTCAGACTGGGAAAAATATTTTTGAACGGTCATCAACTCGTTATTCCAAGTCGGAAACTTTCTAGAGCTCCGACCTTCCGACCTGAAGATCACTGACGCCATGATTTGACCTAATATTTTTCAGAGTTCCCAGTTGTCTTGAAAGCACCATTATCCTCCAAACACATACATTAAAGCTACAATGTTACTTTTTGACCCAATTCACATAGACATTTGAGTTATAGATCATTCATTCACGTTGAAAGCAAATCTAAGAAGCGTTAGATCTGTTCTGTGTGTGCTATGTCCATGCTTCCCGTGCTGAAGGTTCTGCATCTTTTACTTTCGATGTTCTACACCAGCTTCAAACAGCTGAATATACAATATTTTTGGTTATGGAAAATATATTTCACAGCGGTTTAGATGGTACAATTATACGCTACACAATGACTGCTTGTTTCGTCACATAAACTGAAATTAGGCGAACAATTAGAATTTTAACAACCAGGAAATAGCGGAGCGATTTCTGCATAGTGCATATATAAGTGTCAGATGACGTGGACCCTGTTCCAAAAATAGCCATGCACATGACAAGTGTACGTGCAAACGCCACCTTTTACAACACTTGGTAGCTAGATAGGTTAGCTAGGAAAATTGTGACTAGGTCAATGCGACCTTTACACTTGTGGAAGACAATTCAACAGTGGCAGAGAATAAGTGGCAAGTTAGGTTTAGCTGATTGAATAGTTACTATGTAGTTAGCTAGATAACTTACTCATTTAGTTAGCTTACCTAGTAACTAGCATAGGTTATTCTAGTTAGGTTAACAATATACTGTATAAAAACACCAGCTATGTGTTTAGATCAGAAGGCTAACTTGATTGTCAAGCAAGCGTAAAATATCAGGTGGTAGCTAGCTAACTAGTAAGCCAACTACCCTGATGTAACAGGGTAGCTAGTTAACGGTTACACGCTAGCTTAGCAACATAGCGTGGTTAGCTAACACTTGAGGAAGCATGCCAGATAACGGCAATAGCCAAGAATAAAACATCGAATAGCTTACACGAATACATAACAATTAGTCGAATAAATATAATTGAACGCTTACCATAAGTTGCCTGTACATTTTAGTAAATTTCTAGGTGAGTGCACAAGGACACTTTGAAAACCTAGATACTGTGCTTCCGGTGATATCCCAAGATTCTTTACGGCGAAGAAATTGCGGTTGTCACTAGAGAGGAAGAGGATGAGAGAAGCCCAACTCGGCGGAAATGTGTCTCCCTCCAGCAGGTGGCGTTGTTTCGCCCACCAAGCAAGGAGTTTTTGTATGGAAGTCAGAGTTGAATTTGGTCCCCCAAAAAATAATGGCATATTTGCTACGTGAGGTTCATTTGATCTAATGGAAGTTCCGTAATGCGTAAGGTGTTACGAGTGTACTAATATAAGTAGGACACGTGACATCCCGGCAACTCTGAGAAAAAAACAATTTATATGGGAGTTGTCTGGAGATGGCTATGCATATTCATGATTTGAGGCTAGTAGCATAGCGTCTCTCTCCACTGAATACAGGCGGTTGACGTCACCAACCCTCATCGAATATGATGCTAGACATCCGGAAGCTAGACATCCCGCCGTGCCGCTTGCGGACAACGACTTCCATTATTAGGGCGGAGAGACATGTATCTTGTCAGTATTTCCATCATATTTGTCACTAATAGCCATAGTCTCGCGTTGCCATACCTCCAAAATCACGCTGAGGCTACCACAGCCACAAAGCCAAAATCGTATAAATGAATGAAAACAAAATTACCTTTTTGGTCTTAATTTAAGGTTAGAGTTAGGCATACGGTTAGCAGCGTGGTTAGGGTTAGGTTTAAAATCAGATTTTAAGAAGATACATTTTAGAACGAGGTGCAGTTTAGCCATAACTATGACTTTGTGGCTGTGGTAACTAGTGACGACCAGAAATTGTTACGATATGTTCATTGGTTGCTTTGTGTGAAGGCTGGACAATCAAATATTTTGTATCATTTTACATTTGTATTTATTAGGGATCCCCATTAGGTGCTGCCAAGGCAGCAGCTACTCTTCCTGGGGTCCAAACACATTAAAGCACTTACATTACATATAAAACAAAAGATAAATAAATACAGTACATCATATAACATTATTACACCACTACATATCTACAATACAAAATGTATAATACCACCATACAACAATATTACAATGTATGCGTATGCGTGTGTCTGTACTTTGTGTGTGTCTCTTCACCGTCCCTGCTGTTCCATACGGTGTATTTTTTACCTGTTTTTTTAAAATCTGATTCTACTGCTTGCATCAGTTACCTGATGTGGAATAGAGTTCCATGTTGTCATGGCTGTATGTAGTACTGTGCGTCTCCCATAGTCCTGGACTTGGAGATTGTGAAGAGACCTCTGGTGGCATGTATTGTGGGGTATGCGTGGGTGTCTGAGCTGTGGGCTAGTAGTTTAAACAGACAGCTCTGTACATTCAGCTTGTCAACACTTCTTACAAAAACAAGGAGTGATGACGTCAATCTCTCTTCCACTTTGAGCCATGAGAGATTGACCTGCATATCATTAATGTTAGTGTAACAGTTGTTAAAGTACTTTGTGAATTTCACTGTGTTCATATATTAATATAGCATGTTGATTTGTTATTATGCATGCCTGCATCCTGGGAATAGGAGAGTGTGTACTTACGTTTTGCCCTGCATGCTCATGCTCAAATAATTTTTATGCACTATGAGAGGTAGGCACACTTTTTCTGTTGTCTTTAGAAAAAATGTTAGATTCCTTCCAGCACAAAATCATACACACAGTGTTTTGTTCATGAATAATGTTGTATATTTAGAGTTTACTCATGAGTGGATGGTATTGTTAAGATGCAATTGTAATTGTACTTTTTAGGATGATATTAACATTCTGAATTCAACATGTGGTTACTAGCTAGCTAAGGTATTGTATGTGTGAACGATGGCTAGCTCCTCGACTGATTCCAGTCCTTTGTATTGTGCGTCTATGTTGTAGAAAGAGGCGACAATGAGCAGAACATATTTGTGCTCTACAAATGTTTTGTATTTTCTTTTGGATGCAGAGAGAATTCTGATTCATTAAAACAGCCTGATCTCCGAAGTCCATGTCTATAGTCCCAATCAATCACACACAACGCAGAGATACAGCCGTGCAGTACAGTGCCGGTTACATTGGTGCCGTGACCCGGATTCATCGTTGATCGACGTCAGCTCAATCACCGCAGCGCTGCTGCTCTAGAGACTCTGTTTACATCATTGAGGTACTGCTGCTGCCTTGTGGCAAAAATAAATAAACCTGTGGCGGATCTGCAGTCTATATTATCTCCTGTTTATTTATTTTCTGAAAACGATGTATTGAGAGTGCTGTTTATGGTTAACTAATATAGAAGTGTGTTCATCAACAGAAATTTTAACATAACATTAGTGGTTTAGTGACATGGCATCTTATAATGGTGATGATGAACCCAAATTCACTGCTGGGAGGGGGAGGTTTTTCTCATACCCTGATCAAACACCTGTAAAGCGTGTAGGTGCAGTAGGTTCCCCCATGTTTTGCTCCACTAAAACTACTGATGAAAGCCCTTCATCTAGTGTTAATCAAAATGCCCCTGTAGATGGTTTAGCTGAGCTGGTCACTCAGCTAGCCCGGGAAATAGGGAGCTCCATTAGGGAGGAAATACAGAGTGGCAGGTCCAGCACTCATGAGCCACCAGTAAGTACATAGAAGATAAGTCATCATCACTCAGAGTCAGCAGGATATGTAGACCTCAGTAAAATGAAGTTCATCATGCAATCAGATGTGAAGGACTCCTACATATAGAGGAGATGGTACAGACAAATGCTCCATTCATGAATGGGAGGAGTTGATGAGAATATACTTGAGGAGGAAGAGATGTCCTGTTGGGGAACAATCGGATGAGATGA